TTTTTAAAATAATAATATGTGAAATATCTTTTCATTCATTTTTTATTTTATGAAATTCAAAGGATAAATTTTTGAAGATAATAGGAAGAGATAGACACAAATTCGTATCTCCACCACCCATAACTATATTAAAAAACTCAACCCTTGAAAATCAATGAAATCCCTAAAATCAATGATCCTATCAAGATATATAAGTGGATAGTTTACCCTTTTTACTTCATTCTCAACTTTTTACTGATTTTATTTATTTTTTATAAATTAAGAAATCGACGATTCGAACTAGATGATAATATCATATTTGAGCGAACCGTTGTTCAGCCCATGATTTTTAGGATGAGATGTTACCGTGAATATATAAAAAAAATTATGGAGATATATAAGTGGGTGACTCAGAATGATGTTCATAAGTCTTCGTGGAAATGAAGAGAAACACATATAGTTCATACTATATTTAATTAAGACGATTCATTTCGAGATGTATTAGCATATAGTCTACCTTTTTTATTTCATTCTCAAAATTTTACTGATTCAATTTTTTTATAAATTAATAAAATAAGCGAAGTTACAATCTCTCACCGTAAATAAAAAAAATTAAAACAAACAATAAAGCTTTTATATACACTATTTTATTTATATTTAGGAATCGTTTGCTTGTGGGATTTGGGTGATAGATTTGGTACCCAAATCCCAAGCATAATGGAATTGGCACAAATCCATTGTTTGCTAAGGGACACAAATTGGTGGGGCCCACGGATTTGGACCCATTTTTTAGATCCAAATCCGTGGACCCCACGGATTTGCAAATCCCACATTTCATTTGGGATTTGATAATGGAAGGCAAAATGTGAACAAATCCATCATGAATCTATGACAAAAATAAACTACACAAACAATGTACTCTTCCAAATCCATAATGCAACAAATCCATCATAAATCCAACGGTTTTGAAAACTCAAAACCCTCATTTTCAAATCCAACAAGCAAACGAGCCCTTTTAGTTTTTATGTTAACATAATGGATATTTAATTTGTATGTGTAAAATATTATCATTTTCTTAAATTTTGTATCATTACCTAAAATTTATATTCACATATTGATAGTTTGTAAAATATTATTTTCTGTCAAGAAGTAAATGTCCAATGGGTTGACCCGAATAACCCATAATCTTACCTGACCGAACCCGAATTAACCCGTAATCCAATAAACCCGTAATTTGATGCACCCGTAACCCGACCCGATCCGTAACCCAATTGACCAGTGACCTGATTGACTCTTAACCCAATTGACCTGCAACCCAATTAAACCTGATCCAAATTGAAACTGACCCGATTGAACCCAACCCGGTTAGACCCAATCTGAACCCGACCCAACCCGCCCAATTGACTCCTCTAGTTAGAACCTGACACGAGCACGGGCACGAAATAAATGGGTAAGCCCGAAATGAGCACGAATAATTTATGGGTCGTGCCAGGCCTAAACTTTATGGGCACGGGCACGAGCACGGGCACGGAACGGTATATAAGTGGGTCGTGTTGGGCCTAAAATATTTGAGATTCTTTTGAGTATAAGAACGAACATGGCACAAAATAACATTTATTTGATAGAAAATAAATATAGAAATCCCAACAACAATGGGTTAACAGTGGGGACACAAACTCCAGGTTCTTTCACACTATGATGAAAAAAGGCAAGTCAGGAACACAATCAAGCAATTAATCTCAAAAGATGGTGTAGTGTTGGAAAATATAGAAGAGATTGGTCACGAAGCAGTAAGATTCTATTAGAAGCTACTGGGAACACAAGATCATAATCTGAGAAGGGTTACTGTTGACACTTTAAGGCAACTACTGAAATTCCACTTAACAGAAGGAGGAGAGGATATGTGCTCAGTAATCACAAGTGAAGAAATTAAGAAGGTGGTGATGAGTATGAAGAAGGGGAAAGCTCCAGGTCCAGATGGCTATCCAGCAGAGTTCTTCCAAGGGCACTAGAATTTGGTTGGAGAATTCTTTACCAAGGCTATTCAAGAGTATTTTCAGTCTGGCAAGATGAGGAGGGAGATGAATTGCACAATAGTTGCCCTTTTGCCAAAGATATCCAATGCAAATTCTATGAAAACTTTAGGCCCATATCTTGTTGTAATTTTGTTTACAAGTGCATATCAAAGATACTTTCTAATAGACTGAAGCTAGTTCTGCCACAACTGATTAGTCCAAATCGGTAAGCTTTTATTAAAGGAAGACTCATTACTGATAACATAGTTCTAGCTCACGAAATGGTGAAGTGGTATAATAGGAAGAATGTCTCCCCTAGATGTGCCCTTAAGATAGATATTATGAAGGCGTTTGACAGTGTAGACTCTGATTTCTTGATCTGTACAATGACAGCAATGGGGATCCCATAAAGGTTTGTGAATTAGATACGAGGTTGCCTAGATTCTACAAACTTCTCTGTCTGCATAAATGGGGGACTTACAGGAAATTTCCTAGCAAAAAAAGGGTTGAGGCAGGGGTGTCCTCTGTCTCCTTACCTATTAGCTATTAGTATGGAGGTGCTTAGTTGTATGTGGAATAGAGCATCCTCTCGTTCTATATTACCCTATCACCCTCAATGTAGCAGAATTAGCTTAACTCATCTTTGCTTTGCGGATGACTTACTAATTTTCACAAAAGGAACTGTGGAAGGAGTTTCAGTGGTTGCAGAGATCCTTCAAAAGTTCTACTTGGTGTCAGGTTTAAGGTGTAACCCAAGTAAAAGTGAAATTTTTAGTGCGGGGGTTCCTGTTAATCTGAAAGCTGAGTTAGGGAACAGTTCTGGATTCAAGGAAGGCATTTTACTTGTCAGATATTTAGGTCTCTCTTTGAATGCAGGGAAACTCTCCTCACTTGACTGCAAGTCTTTGGTAGACAGAATAGCAGGGAGGATTATGGGGTGGCAGCTTAAGCTACTGACTTATGCAGGGAAGCCTGAACTGGTTATGTCAGTCCTAGCTAGCATGACCCAGTTCTGGATGAATGTCATCCTCTTGCCTAAGAAAGTCATTAAGCAAATTGAATCTCTTCGCTCTCAATTCCTTTGGAGTGATTTTGAAAAGAAGAAGAAAGGTAAAGTCTCCTGGAAACAGGTAGCTTTACAAAAAACTGAGGATGGTATGGGGTTTAAGGATCTATATTCCTAGAATAAGGCTTGTCTGGCTCGTCACATCTGGGGAGTTCTTGCTCATCAAGATACATTTTGGATTGCTTGGATCAAGGAATATCGACTTAGGAATCTGAGTATCTGGGAAGTGAGCACCATAGGTTATTGGGTATGGAATAAAATACTCAAGTTAAAGAGCAGAATTCTCAGGGAAAATGTGCTAGACAGATCAAGGGGTGGTTTGGGAGGGTGAGAAGATGCCTAGGTTCCAGATTAGCAGGATATGGCATAGCATCAGACCAAAAAGTGAAACTGTGTGCTGGTCTAAACTAGTGTGGAAGAGTGGTATTCCTAAGAATTCAGCTATTAGATGGTTGATTATGATAGGCCGAATAACAACTCTTTATGTAGTGCAGCGGTGTAATCCAGAATTTGATCTAAAGTGTCCTCTCTGTGGGCAAGAACCTGAGTCAATGAGCCATATCTTCTTTCTGTGTAGGTATGTGCAGGAAGTCTGGATTGTTGTGTTCCCAGTGTCCTGGTCCTTTCCAGTTTCAAGAACCCTGCAAAAGGCAGTAAATGTACAAATCAGAGGTTCAAAACGTGTTTGGTAGGCAGAATGCTTTGGCATCTGGCGTTGAGTGAGATCTAGAGGGAACGGTGCATGAGGATTTATGGAGGCAAGCAATTGACAGTTGTGGAAGTCACAAAGAAGATGCAGAGGGTGATGGAAGCAAAGGAGGCTGGCGACCCAAGAATTGCAGAGTCTGTTTCTAGTGTTGTTTTGTGGTATAAGATTAGTGGCTAAAGGTCTTTGTTATGTGGTAGATAGCAGTGTAGTTGGTTAATTGGTTTGTTAGTCGTAAAAATCTTGCCCATTCATCGAGAAAAAAAAATATAGAAAGAATTATAGATTCAAATATTACAAATACAAGTAGAAAAATAATCCTTTGTTGTTGTTAGAAGTGTCATAAAGACATATACGTAATTACTACCATAAGTAAAAATAGACCAAAAATTAAACAAAGTCAAATCACACTCGCTATATTTCCAATTTTCTTTTCCCCCCTTATTTGTTACTTTTCTCAAACATATTCGGTTAATACTATCTTTCTCCGTCCACTTTTTCACCTTCTTTTTCATTCTCTTTTTTTATTTCTTTCCTTTTAATTAGACACGAATACGAGCACGACACGATCACAAATACGCACGATTCGAGCCGTGCTCGGGCCTGGGCCGGGCCTAGCAAAGTTAACAAATGGGCTTTCTCGACACGGCACGAAAACTGACAAGCCGTGCCAAACACGACACGAAATAAATGAGCTCGAAGCATACCCGTGCCCTGCTAGGCTGCCATCCCAAGCACGGCCCAGCGCCCATGTACAGGCCCAACAGAAGGAGAGGTGGAGATAGGGAAGCTTGCATCCGCAGCCAACTGGGCTTGAGGTCTTCTATTCATTCATCCAACCGGGCTCCAACTAAAGATTTTGATTTTTGATAGCTCGTCCTGTTCAGTCTAGTAGTCTACCCAACCATCCTCCCATTAGATAAACATAAATATCATCCTAGGTTCTCAAATATAATTTTATCACCAAAATATCTGGACATGTTTATAAGAAAGTCGAATTAGGTACTAAACTGTAAGTAAATAATAAATTTAACCAGAAAACTTAAAATAAGAAAAACCTCAATAAAATCTGAGATACCAAAAAGTTACAATTGAGTTTCTAACCCATGAATTTAAGTTGCAGTAAAATTTCAAATTCATGATTCCGACATACATACATTGGAAATACACACGCGCTAAATCAACAAAAACATTAACCCCCAAATTCTATCGCTTGCAAGTAACTATCATCAAACTTTTCCAACAAAATTTACTGTCACTACTGCACTCATGAACCACCATAGTCACTGGGATTTCCAGAGTCTCAAAGACGGAAGCAGAATACAGACTAGACACAAGTGATAATGATAAGCACGAGGAGCCGTCGAATAAATGAACACTTGGGAACCATCATTACAATATGTATATTTACAGGTGCATGTTTTTTTTTTCTTTCCCTTTTCTATTTCTCTATGAATCTTTCTTACTACTTACCTAGGACTTACCGAGTTACTGACTACTGTGTGGAAATCAACTTTCTCTATACAATCTAGTTTCTGGATATAGGGACTAATACACAACCCAAAAATATAATAACTAACCCTTAATAATATTATATGTAAAACCACTCTTCTTCGGCTCAAAGCTAAATCTTACCGCTTATTCATTTCATCAGAGGAAGATCCAACGAACGTGGTTTTTGTAGTTAGCTGTCCTTAGGGAAGTGGGAAGTCAATTTGGGAGCGGGGGGAGCTTTACATTTCTGTTGTCACACCGGCAAATAGGCCTCCTAGCTGTGCAATGTGTGTACGCAAGCTACATTCTTTCACCTGCAAAATGGATAAAGAAGACTCGTGAATGACAGAGTCGGAAACACTGCAGCAACTCCTCGGAAACCACAAGCACAACTCACCTGCATCGTTGTCAGCATTGCCAACATGTCTCTGCACTCATCAAGTGATGAAAGCTCGTTTGCAGACATGCTACCAAGTTCTGTCACAAGAGAATTCATCTCCCGAACCTGCCAACCATACAGCTAAACGATAAGGCCACAATAATGCATTACGGATAACCATGTTCATAAAATGCTTAGGAAGAGAGAGGGAGAACGACAGACCTTTACAAGCAAAGAGCGTATGGAAGAGCCCATGGCGTGCATCACATCAACCGCTGAATAGATAGCCTCCTTCACATTCTGAGTATCTGCCTGCAAAATAAACAAGATGATGAATTTATTAGATCTGGTGTAATGTAATGAAATTCAGCTCCAAATTTTAAACCTAAGGTGGATGGATGTTTTGCTTTATATATCATTACCGTAAGTCTCAGCTTCTGGCTATTAAGAATAAAACTCATGTTTGTGTAAGCAAAACTAGAAGGAGAATAGAAAAGAACAGGGCATAGTACCCGTGCTCCACTAACAACAGGCAGGCGGAGTGTGCTTGCTTGTAAAGCTTCAATGGCCCCTGATAAAGAACATGAGTAATTCTGTTCCAAGAGTGCAAACTCCTCTAGATATTTCATCTGCAGCCATCAACAATAATGAAGATTTGCCAGGAGCCAATGGTACGAATGAAAAAATTGCATGATAAAAACATTGGAATATAAAAACTGAAAGAAAATACAGATTAATTTGAGGGGGTCAATTTAACAAAATAACTTAATTGCAATGCTGAAAGTAGTTGATATATGGTCTCCCATGGAAATTAGAAGACCATTTATACATCTAGCGGAAATTTAGAAAATTTGGAGGATGAAACATGGTTCTAACCTAAGTAGTATTAAAATGATGCCGCAAATGGCCAACCAGAGAAGTCGTATAAACCAGTTCAGAGACAGAGAAACTAACAAAATGGTGGCAAAAAAAAGTTAGCTTGTTACCTGCCCTCTCAGCACAGAAATCAGCTGCACATTCTGCCTAAGCCATTGTAATTCAGTTCTCTTTGCTCTAACCGATTCTTGTAGTCTTGTTGTTGCTACATGTGCACTGCACAGGCTTTTCTGATACAGACAGAAATAACTCTTCAGAATGAAATGCTTATGACCTACACATGTTTAACTGAATTAAAAAAGGAGACGAAGGGAACATGAAAAAATGTCAAGCATTCTAAACAGTGTTATCCCCTAATTACTTAAAATTCATGAATCCAGACAGCAAAATTTACAGAGTGCTTGTACACTATATATGACAAAACTACCGATTTAAAACACTTTACATATGACTAGCTGATCAAGTTCCTAAAGCAAATTCCCAATGTCTTTATCCTATGTCCTCTTCAAGTTTCAATTTCTAAATCATATGTGTGACCATTGCACATTGGTTTGTAGAAGTTGGATGTGGGTACAAAGTCTTGTCTTTTGAGGTTGTACACTGGTGATACATATATGACAGTAACGATACCAATATATAAAGTGCATTATCCAAAGAACATATCTCTTCCTGCTACCACCCTCCAGTCTTAAAATCTAAAACATCAGAAATAAAGACATCAAACATCCATCAACATTCTTACTCATTACGGATCAGTTTCTAGAATCAACCTAAAGTTTCCTCACAATTGCATAAGATCACCAGCCCTTGGACTTGGATGTCATCATTCAATGTCAGTACCCTGACGTCTTTCTCATACCAGTTCTCCTATATGACACATAAATACAAGTGCTTAATTGCTTATGGAGATGTGTCTCCAGCCTTTTGCTCTCAATTACTCAGACACTAGGTACTCATGGGATATTCAGTGGCACAAGTTGCTGGAGTAACAATCACAGAATTAGGCATTCAACTCGAAGTTCTATGATCTGTCTTTGGCTCCTATCACATGAATCCAAATTACCCTACGAACTATACTTCTCCACCAGCGTTATGACTTTGACCTAAGCCACTAGTTAAATACACAGTGGGCACTCACCACCAAACCATCTATTGAATCTATTTTAAGCAACACATGATATAACAGCTATTAGATTACTAGTTAAGTCTACCAGCAACACCAATACCCACATAACTATATCAGTCATATTTTGGATGCCAGATTTCCTTTTTTTCCCTGTCAATTTTTTCAAAACGACATACAAATTTCCATATTGGTATTTCAGATTCAGTAGATAATAATTGTGCAAAGTCAAGGTCATCTTTTAATTAGCCACTAAACCATCAAATGATCTTCCTAAATAAGTATATAGCATCTCTTTTTGCTGCCCTTCATCTAGTGTTCCTAATTATTAAGTTTCCCACTGAGGATTTAACAGCAAGTTCTCACTCACAGCTTAAGTCAACAACTGAGAAGGAATGCATTTGTGAATAAGTCAATGTGCATGAAGGCAACAAACAGAAAACCTTGCTCAGTTAAGGACCAGGAAGAAACAGCAAGCATACCTCTGCATTCGAGCTCTGAACGGAGAGGGCACCATCAGCCCTGGCGTTGACAAACCGCCATTGCAACAGTCGATTATACAAAATTCTCAAATGGTGCACTTCAACAAGCCGAGTCTCCCCACCTCTCACTCTCCTAATATCAGCACCAAAGCTCAAAATAGAAAGAGTTGACGTATTACCAAAACTGCCCGTTGCACCTCCCAGTGGATTCCTCATTCTTGAAGGGCTCATACCCCTCACAGGTGTCGCCGTTGCTGATATCGCCCCGATCTTACTAGGTGATGCAGGCCTTCGTAAGGGAGACGATTGCCCCTTTGTATTGATAACACCTTTTGGTGAAGAAACTGGACTCTCAATTCCAAGCTTCCTGGGCGGCATGATTTTCTGCTGTGAAGTTGTTCTGGACGCTGCAAACTTGGAAGGTGAACAAGAGTCAGATGGTTGGCGACGGACTCTGTTGTTATTCTCTTGCCAAAACCTCGCCGGAACAGTTAACCCACGTCCACCCTTGCGGAATTGCCCGCCGGCGTTGTTACTTCCTTCTGAAGTTGTACTGGAGGATACACTTTCAGTATCGGAAGGCAAACGAGGATCAGAGTTTGCTTCGGATCCGCTGATTCCGACTAGCTTTTCTGGTTCTCCGACATTGCTGGAATCAGAGCTCAATCTGCTCTCAATTGAGGACCTACTATCCAATCTATGCAGTGCTCTCACAACGTTGGCACTGACGCCAGATCCGATAGCTCTCTTCCTCTCTGTAGTATAATCAACGCTCCTCGTCATGGAATTCGGCGGCTGCCGCAATCTCCCCGGCCACCGGTGCTGCTGTTCCGCAGACCTGGAACTATTATTCTCCGCTTGATCCGTTCGCGTAGGCGTAGCTCTCCGTCGCTCCGGTGTTCCTTTCCTCGCGCTAACCGGTGATGGAGCCGGCTTCGCTTTACTCACCTGGAGCGCAAATGATTCTCCCTGAAACGACACAGATAAGCTTCTCGTCGAGGAAATCAACATCTTCTGCGCATTCGTCATTTCGCCTGCACCGGCGCCGTGTCCGTTCGCGATCCTCACATCCGCGGAATTAGGGCGGCCGGTAGGGGTAGCGGACCTCCTCCTCTCGACGGACTGCGAGCGCTTAATCGTTGAAGGAACAGACGGCGTGGTGGGAGTCTTGGGCCGGGAAATCAAGGGCGAGGGGCAGCGTTTGGCGGCCGAAGACGACGAAGAAGAAGAGGACATGTAGCGAGAAGTAACTTCCCGAGGCTTGGGGCGGCGAGGAGCGAGAGCATTGTCCGATTCCGAGGGCAGCAGAGGCGGCCTGGTAGGGTTCTGGTTTTGCGGTGTTGGCCTCGGCTTCGGAGGGTTTATCTGAGCAGAAACTGCAGCTACCATTGTCGAAACTCAGCATCCAACTCCCAATTGATTTATCCCCCGTCCCCTTCACTCTCCAAAACCCTAGGATTTTACCACCGCCTTGTACAAATGAAATCCTCCACTGGATGGAGGAAAGGAGAGCTGGACAGCACAGACGGGAGAGGTGGAGGGAGGAGTGGTGGAAGTACGACGAGGGAGAGACAAAGAGAGAAAATCGAGTGTGGAAGTTACTAAAATAGAGCGGAATCCGCCCGCCGGGAAATGTTACCGTTAGCGCTGATGGTGGCCGGCGAGGGAGGAGGCGGAGGTGGGGCAGCGCAGGAAGGAAGAGAGCAACGTTGATTGTTTTAGGCGAGATTTGGGAGCATAACTGTCGTACTAAGCATTTTTATTTTTTCCTGGTTTCCAATTTCTTTCTCGGGAACCCAAAAAACGATTAAAATTAGAGAAAGAAAAGTCACGGAGGTGATGGCTTTCTTTTTATTTTCCGCAAAACCACCCGCGGGGATTCGGGGGTGGGAAACAGACGCGAATCGAGTTGCCTTGCTTTATGCTGATTGCTTGTTGCTGGCAGCGCGTGGAAGCGAGTAGAATGAGAGAGAGTGAGGATTATGCGAGTGAAGAGTATTTTCACATTTTCTGTTCCTCATTTCCTCATTTCGTGAGAAGGAAAGGAAGGTAAACGGATTAATTGGGGAACTGGACTGGACGCTGGAGTCCGCGTGTGTGTATCTTCGGAGAGACGTTACGGAAACGCAAGGTTGTCAACTTGCGGGTTGACCCGGACCCGGTTGAGCTAATGGGTCAAGGGTTAATAGGTCACCCGTTTTAGTCCGGTTTAGCCCGGAAATATGGAAAGCATCATTATATTGTACTTATCCTGATAAATTATATCAAATCTCATCAAACATATGAGTTATAACATATAATATTACACCAAAATAACATGTCGTACTTAGATTCAACATATAGTGAAAATTTACACACACTTATATAACATTAATATTCAAATGTTCAACTTAGAATTCCAAATATTGAGTTAGGCGAAAAGAAAAATCGGAAAATAGGCGCATTTCGCAAAACAAAGAAAAAATGACACAATTTGACCTCCAACTCGGTACCTTGTGTCGGTCGACCCGGCGGGTGCGTGAGGCCCGTTTTTCTCACCAGGTCAGGGTCAAAGTGGGTCGACCCGCGGGTTGACAACCTTGCGGAAACGACACTAGATTTTATTAATGTTTTTTAATTATTTGTTATGTAGAAATATCTATTTGTTTGCCCTTTTTTCGTTTTTCGGCAGCTGGCTGAAATTTTGTTGTGAGATGGAAATTCAGGGCTCAAGATAGGGTGCATAATCATGGGTTATGCACCCATCAATAACCAAATCTAGACCATTTATTTAGAAAATCCAGATCTAAGGATGGAGAATTAAAGGTCATTTTTATTTACTATAGTTTTCTTAATCGGCTCATATCTTCTTCATTTTAACTCGGATTTTAACTTTTTTTGCACATATGGAACGAGTTCATCGTGCTCTACAAAATGAGATCTATTTTCAATATTTTTTGAGAAAAAAAATTCTTGCCTCTCGGTACCAACTGCACACTATATGGTATTTTCTTTGTTTTTAATTCATTTTTAAAAACTTTTGCACAGAAGGGACGAGTTCATCATGATCTATTGGATCTACAAATTTCTGGGTGAACAAATTACAGGACCAAAAAATACCATGCAATACCACCCTGGTACGGGGTGGTATCTTATGGTATACAATGTTAAAAGTCGTAAATGACAGTTAATACACTTCTACTATCATGTATTTTCAATATTTTTTGAGAAAAAAAAATTCTTGCCTCTCGATACCAACTGCATACCATATGGTATTTTCTTCGTTTTTAATTCGTTTTTAAAAACTTTTGCACAGAAGGGACGAGTTCATCATGATCTATTGGATCTACAAATTTTTGGGTGAACAAATTATAGGACCAAAAAAATACCACGCAATACCACCCTGGTACGGGGTGATATCTTATGGTATACAATGTTAAAAGTCGTAAATGACAGTTAATACACTTCTACTATCATGTATTCAACCATCCTACAGTCTTGGTTTGTTCATACCACCATGGTACGCTTTTCAAACCATAGGTATGCTCTTATTTCAAGGGAATTGATAAACGTCGTCCTTAAAATTACTATTGATCGTCCTAAAAAATAACAAAGTTACACTTTTAACCTTTTGTCATCTTTAGCAAACAAACATCACTTTAACTAAAAAAAGGAAAAACACTCAATTTCCCACACTCTCGAATTCATCGTTGACATTCTCGAGTCGTAATTGTTGGGAATATGTCTGAATCATGAGTAGCGACTCCGATGAGGTAAAAATTCTATTTTTTTCAAAAAAACCCAAAACCCCTCAACCGAAGCCAATTTTCGGTTGTACCATGGCTCAACCTAAGGCAATTTTCGGTTGGTCCATGGTACAACCGAAAATTGCATTAGGTTGAGCCATGGTACAACCGAAAATTGGCTTCGTTGAGGGGTTTCGGAATTTTTTTGGATTTTTTTTATATCAATAATTTTCTATTCTCTTACTACGATTTATGGTTCGGTCCATTAGATAATTTGTTGGATTTTGGTTTATATTTTTTTAGATTTATGGAAGGGGAGGGGTTGTTTGTTTTGTGTTTGATTTTGAAATTCAAAATGGGCAATTCGGTAAATTACATATTAAGTTAGGACGATGGTTAGTAATTTTTAGGACGACCTTTAACCATTCAGTATTTCAATACCAGTCAATACCATATGGTATAGACTGGTATAAAATGACTCAATTGTTTTGTTCGGAAAATATATCAAAGTGGATATCATTTTGAAGAGCATAATTAATCTAATCTAACTGCGCAAAAAAAATTAAATTTCGACTTAAAACGAGTGAGAAATCGTCCATCAAAGATTAAGAAGGAGAAAATTAAAGGCTTTCCAGTAGAGAGAGGGATGCTGATGTCATGCTGATGTAGACAGGTTACTCATAGTTACTCACCATAAGGTTAGTGACGTGATCCATTCCCGAAATTCAGTGTAAAAGCTAAAAAAAAGGGTTGTTGCTGTTATTAAGGATGGATAATTGTTATGATATAATCGATATGGAACCTTGGATTATGGAAGCAACAAGATTATGGAGACTCATCCATCAAATAAAACAGTTTGACTCCTTCTTACTAGTTTTGTTCTTTTTTTAGAACTCATTTTCATGGGTGTAATCAGTAATGTCTGATCCGGCTTTTAGAAGTGTTTTTCGACTTCAAAATTTGAAGCATGGTCAAACACATTTAAAAGCTCGGTTTTTGAAAAGCTGAAAAGCACTTTTGTTTAACAACTCAGTTTGGCTCTACTGTAGCTTAGGCAAAAGCAGCTTCTGGCTGGAGTTTTTAGATAAGTACTTTTCAAAAAAAAAAAACAATTGAGTGTTTGACTGAAAAACGATTAGAAGTGCTTTTTAATATGAGAGGTTATGTAAAATAACTATAAAGGATTTAGAATATAAAATATGAATAAAAATTCTAAACAATAAAAAGTTGTCAATATGGATCTTGTTAGATTTCTTTTATATTAAATAATACGATTTTATAATTTATTTTATTTTTATAATGATTGAAATGAAATGAAATTATATTATATTATATTTTCTGAAATAAGATTAAAATATGATAAGGATAATCTTGTATTTTCAAAACAGCTTTTCGCAGAAACTCCAAATCGGAGCTTCTGCTTTTATGTTATACAAAAGCGATTTTCAGCTTTTCAAAAGCCGAGCTTTTAGAGGTGTTTAGCCCGACTTCAATTTTTGAAAATTTTAAATACTCAAACGGTTGATTCTTTTTTCTTTCTTCTATATTCATATTAATTATGAATAACAAAAGAATGAAAAGTTAATAGTGAAGATTTTCGAAATTTAGGAACTATGGTTGAATGGTTCCCCTTGCGGGGATGTAGCATTGTTGCCCTAACATCATAACAATTTAATTTAGCTTTTTAAACGAAAAGCACTTCTAAAAGTCGAGCCAAACATAGGGAACATCAAAGTAGAAGCTCCAATTTGGAGCTTCTGTGAAAAGTTGTTTTGAAAATACAAGATTATCCTTACCATATTTTAATTTTATTTCACAAAATTTAATTTGATTTATATAATTTTAAAAATAAAATAAATTATTAAATCATATTATTAAATATAAAAGAAATTTAACAAGATCCATTTTGACTACTTTTTATTGTTTATAATTTTATTTATATTTTATATTATAAGTCCTTTATAGTCATTTTACACAACCTCTTATATTAAAAAACACTTCTAATTTCCACACACACACAAAAAAAACATTTCTAATAGTTTGTCAGCTAAACACTCAACTTCTTTTTTTGAAAATTACTTCTCTAAAAGCTACAGCCAGAAGCTGCTTCTGCAAAAGCTACAGCTACAGCAAGGCCAAACTAGCCCAATATTTTACCTTTTTATGAAAATGGATGTAAAAGCTTCGCTAACTCATACTAGATGATAGATCGGATGACCAACCTACTAACAAAGCCATACAAAAGTCAATACTCAAGTCTGGATCAAGACGTCGATAATGTCCCTTATAAGCTAGGGAGTCGACTAAGAAATTAGCCTCCCTATAGATTTGGGTAACGTTGATTTGCCACTCCCTCCATTGCAATTCTCGAACAACAAGCACTAGAGTAGCATGTTGATGGTTCATATGTATTGAATCAGAGAATAGATTAACGATAGTGATGGAGATAGTTGAAGCTCCACCTTGCTATCCACGATCCCACAAAAGCTACAGGCCTTAGATGGCGCCCTAAAGCTTTGCACGAGTGATCAAACATCTTCCCAGATTCATCGTAAAGGCTCCCAATAAGCGATCATGCCAGTCTCTAAGCGCCCCCTTCTGCAGCGGTAGACCCTGATTGTCGCAGTAGGGAGCCATCAGAGTTCATTGTGATGTAGTCTGTCGGGGCTAGTCTCCACCCAACAGCCACATGTCGACACGGTCCCAACCTCACTAGTGATGTAGTATGGTCCACTACTTTTCTACACAATGACCTCCCAAGCAAGGATCTGTTGCGAAAGCTTATTTGGATCATCCATGATGTCTGAGAAGATGTAATCATTCAGCGAACACCAAATAAACCAACAGGTGAAGCCAAGACGAACTTGGGACTCGAGGCTTGTCAACAATCTCGTGAACCACTCCTTGAAATATCTCCCATCCGAATATGAAGCTACTGCCGAGAGGGAGCATAACCAGACCTTGCGAGCGAACGGGCAGGTGCGGAATAAGTGCCCAGGCCTTTCTGCTTCCAGCTTACATCTCTAACAAGTCGTTTGCCCGATAAGGTGTTGACATCAGTGTTCTTCATTGATCGGCAAGGATCTTTGGGTCGCCAGCCAAATGAAATAGAGAACTAGACTGGGACCAGGCCATCTCCATATTGCTTTCCAGCTAGAGCAACCTCATTCTCCCTCGATCTCAGCTACAAGTTGGTAGGTAGACGTCAATTGAGTAAATGAAGTTGAAAATTACTTTTTTGGCATTTAATATGAGATTTTAATTTCCAAAATACAATTAATATAAAAATAGTTAATAAACTACTTTTTGGCATATTCAAAATACCCTTGGTTTCCCATAAAAAAAATACCCTTGATTAGAGGGGGTTGTGAAAAATGAAAGCCCCTCAGGGATTGTTAACGGATCTCATCCAAACAATTAGATCTTTTGATGCGTAAATGAAGTTGAAAAACACATAAAGGGCATTATTAATATCAATACTAATACATAGGTCATCATGAATAATTATATGAAATTGTAGACTTATATTTCTTTTATAAAATTTATATTTGATTTTCATACTAAAGAAACATATTAAATTATCCATAAAAAGGTTGAAATGAATTGAAATTGGTGGAAAGATGGGCAATGAACAAGGTTGTCAATCATGTTTAGCCTATTAGTCTAGTCGAGAAATTGGGTTGAGAGTTGATGGTCGGATCGATTTAGCTCATTTCAGTCCGGATATATGAAAAAGTCATTGTAACATTTATACATATATCAAATTTCATCTAACATATGAGTACTAACATATAACATTACACCAAATTTGCAATTCGTACTTGGATCCTACATATAGTAAAAATTCAAACACACTCATATACCATTTATGTTCAAATTAGGGGTGGGAAATGGTGCTGTCCGGTCAAGACCAGACCATATATACGGTCAGTGGTCCAGACTGAGAGGTTGGAGCACAGACCATGGACCAGACCATATACTATACGGTCCAGACCAGACCACACCTATGCGGTGCGGTCCAGTACGGTCTAGACAAGACAGACCATGTTAAAAAAAAATTAACTCCTATTTGGCCTCCAACCCTTCGTCGGTATCTATAAAAATAAAAATTCTAGTGACCAATATGCTAGCGAAACAAAAAAAATTGTGGTAGGAATTAAATGAGAAGAAATATGAGGATAAAAGTGGAGTTTTTCAATTTTCAAACACACACACACATCAAATAGCCTTGTTTTTCTATTCCTCTTTGTGCTACCACCTCTCTCCTCTCTCGAGTGATCCGAAGGTTCTCCCGGTTGATAACCTTTGTGATGACGTCGAGGTAATTTTGAATAGGGCTGGTAATCGGGTATCCGGTTAACGGTATAACCGGAAACCGAACCGGTAACCGCCGTTAACCGGTATGCCGTTAACCGGCGGTAACCGGTATACCGTTAACCGGTGTGTGGCGGTACTTGGATGGGAGAAAGGAATAGCCGGTATACCGACTAAGTTTCGGTATAATACCGGCGGTCAGCCGGTTTTACCGATACCGAGAATCCTCCATTAATCTTAAACCAATAACCCTCTCCAGTACTCCCCACCCTCCCTTCACCTGCTTGCGAGAAGCTCTGCAACCCTTCTCTCCTCTCTTTCTTTTTTTTTCCTTCCCCAGCAACCTCTGCACAAGAAATCCCCAACCTCTCCAAATCAACAAATCCAAAACCAACGTTCATGATTCTCAATCTCAAATGGCCACAGCCAACTAAAAATCCCCAATCCATGCGCTACCTTTTGAAAATCGGAAAATCCCCACTCAGCCGATTCCCGACCCCAACTCTCTCAGACCGGAGATTTCTGACCCCGTCCTCCGATGACGCCTTCGCAACCTCCGACGGGGGCCTCGCCTTCGTTCCCGAGTCCTGGCCCCAACCTCTGAAGGCTCCTTTACCTTCGTTCTCGAGTCCCGACCGCAACTCCGACCAGAGATTCAGCAGATCTGGAGATCCACCGCTGCCGCAGCACCTTCGCAGACGGCCGGATCCACTAGCGACAACTGCATGCACGAGGGAGATGGAGAGCCGCTGTGCACTGGAGATGCTACTCTGTCTCGAAAGTTTCTCCAGACCCCTACTTTTGCTCTCCGTGCTCTGCAAAGAGTGGGTCAGTTTGGGGAAGATGAAGAGTTGAAGACGAAGAAAAGAGAAAGGCTTACCGGTTTTCAGATAACCGGGAACCATAACCGTTACCGACAATCCGGTAAGCCGGTTAACCGGAAATTACTCGGTACCGGTAGTCGGATTCAAAGCTGGGCATGTCGGTAATACCGATAACCGGTAAATCGGTAACCGTTATACGATACCGACCAATTACCAGCCCTAATTTTGAACCACTAAGATGGTCTCATATCTCTCAATAATTTTCCTTATCTCATCAAGGTGAACGGATTTTTTTCTAGTGTTTAATTTTTATCGACTCCATAGTCTAGACATTGTCTGTGAATATTATTTATGAGTCTTTCTGGTTTTGTGTGGTTCTTTGATAAGGAGATAACACATAAGCTATCATTTGGCAATTTGTTGGCTCTCAACTAGATGAAGAATCAACTAACTTTGTTCTTCAAATATACAAATGGAGGTTCAATTTAGTGTTATTTTTGTCCGAGTTAGTAGGTAGTGTGTCGCGGTCTGTTACGGTTTACTACAGTAGACCGCGGTCCATACCACTTCAGACCATGCACTAAAAGATGAGACCGCAAACCAGACCAGACCATAGTTCAAATGTACAACTTATAATTCCAAAGATAGGGTTATACGAAGAATAAAACCATAAAAGATCCGCAATTTGCAAACCAAAAAGAAAAATGACGGCGTGTGACCTCCAACTTGGAAGTGTGTGGCGCCTGTTTTCCTCACCACATCATTGTCAAATCCAAATTAACCCACTAGTCAACCCGCAATTTGACAACCTTGGTAATGAACAAAAGAGAAAACTAAGTGAAGCTCACAAAAAAGAAGAAAATCAACAATTTAAGTAAAGCAAAGTCATTACAGGCATATATATATATAATAATAATAAATGATCGGCCGAACCTTTTTGCTTTTAGTTAGTGTGAATCATGGAGACAGTGGTCTCTGCAGAGATGAATTCTGAGTTAACTACAGCGGTCTTACCGGATGAGATTAAGAGAGTGGCCTTTTCCATTGGGTCTACTCAGGCTCTAGGGTCTTATGGGTTCACAGGAAAATTTTATATAGAGTATACTGGGATATTATTGGTGAATCAGTAATTGAAATTGTTCAATATTTTTTCAGAACAAGAAGTATGCTGAAAAGTTTCAATCATACCTGGTTGGCGTTGCTTCCAAAAGTGGATGTTGTTGAGTCAATGAAGCAAATTTGACCGATTAGTTTGTGTCAATTGTTCTACAGGATTATTTCTAAGATCTTAGCAGAAAGAATGGCGAATCATCTGTCCAAATTGATCTCACATGAGCATAATGGATTTCAGTCGCAGACTCGGAATTTCGTCAAGGGTATTCACAAAATAAATAATAAAATAATAAAAAAAATTAATTAATAAAGTATATCGATTCATCGTTTCTCATAGCGAACAACGACGTGTTTTCATATTCTGAAAAGTTTCTATAATACATACATCACTTATGTTGTGACTCACGCCTTTTTCAATGAAAGTGACCAGACAATCACTCATAAATTGGTCTCCCATACGATTTCGAAGATCGTTCTTGACGAATATCATTGCTGAAAATGTCCTCTCCACGCTTGCAATTGCAACTGGTAAAGTCAACACTAACTTCAAAAGCAGATTTGCCAAAGGATATAAATTATCACTTCCTCTCTCCACCACAGAGGAGAAGGAGATTTAATAAAATCTTAATGAGCTTGGCCACTTGGATTCGTCAGATTGTTAGGAGTTAATTGGAATCATTATATATCTTTTTAATAATTTATATAACAACTATTGGTTAGTGGTTGGACGGAACGGAAGTGTAAGCATTGTCAAATTGGGAAGGCCAAGCAATAATATTATTTTTAATGGGCTGATTTGATCTAATTTTGTAGACAAGGTTTGTCAAGTGACTACCCTTGGATATGAATAGGTCCGCCACTGATGGATTTGTCAGGGATAGGCAAATAGTTGATAACATTCTTATTGGTCATGAGATTATGCATTACCTTCAAATCAAGAAGCAAGGAAAGAAGGGTTATATGACTTTGAAGGTTGACATGGAAAAGGTCTATGATAGCGTGAAATTGCCCTTTTTACTTACTGTAATGAGGAAAATGGGATTTCATGCCCATTGGATTCATTGGATTAAGGAATGTCTGTCTTCATCGACCTTTTCAGTTTTGATGAATGGCAATCCCAACGGGTATTTTAGGTCCTCGCGTGGGTTAAGGCAAGGTGATCCGTTGTCGCCACTATTGTTTGCGATATGTACGGAAGGCTTTTTGGCTTTATTAAAACAGGCAGTGATGGATCGAAGATAATTGAGTTTTAAGGTGAATCCGCGGAGTTCGAGTGTCTCTCACTTGTTTTTTGCTGACGATTCGTACTTATATCTTAAGGCTTCGATGCCGGAATATCATATTCTGATGGACTTCTACAGGAATTAAGTGGGCAGAAAGTGAATTTGCAGTAAATTACTGCCAGTAATATGTTGTTTGTTTTAGCATAAACGTCGATCAACCTGATGGTCAGCAGATGGCAACTATTTTAGGTGTTGGTGTTCGTTCAAGATAAATAACTTGGATTGCCAACATTGATACATCGATCAAAGACAGAGACATTTCAGTATCTCGAAGAGAAGCTTCTATCCAACCTCATGGGATGGAAGCAACGACATTTATCATGGGCAGCGGAGGAGAATCTGTTAAAATCAGTGGTTGCAGCATTGCCAATACATTTGATGTCGTGTTTTATGTTGCCAGTGACCCTGTGTAGGAAATTGAATAAGTATATGACTAGGTTTTGGTGGGGTTTTACTGCAGAAGGGAATAAGGCTCATTGGGTGTCTTGGAGGAATTAATGCGGAGTAAGTTTGATGGGGGGCTAGGCTTCCGCCGTTTTGAGGATTTTAATCAAGCATTGTTTGCAAAAGTGGTCTGGCGTATCTTGCATGAGCCAGATTTCTTGCTAGTAAGGGTTTTGAAGGGGAAGTATATCTCTGGTGGGAGTATATTAACTATGAGACTGGGTTCCCGATGGGGATGGAGCAGTATACTATGTGGACGTGATTTATTGCAAAGAGAGCTCGGGTGGCAAGTGGGTACAAGTGAATGTGTTCGGGTGTTGAAGGACGCGTGTGTCCCGAGATTGGCTGGAAATCTTTTACAAGTCCTTACGAGCGCCCCATTTACACAAATGATTATGGTTAGTGACCGATTCAGCCAAGAGAAGGTGTTTGGTGTGAGGAATGCAAGGATGAGTGCTCTCCGGTTGAGATCAAGCATCAGATCTTGAACATTCCATTGCCTAGGCTACCGATCCCATATAAATTGATTTGGAAGAAGGAAGCTGATGGGTGTTGCTCTGTAAAGTCGGGGTATCACTCGGCTGTACCGTTGAAGCGCGGAATGGGAGGTTGGGAAACGGAAGTCTCTTTTTGGGATATGCGCTTTTGGCAAAAGATGTGGAGCTTTCTCATTCCGCCGAAACTGAAACTCTTTCTCTCGAAATTTATGTGGCGCATTCTTCCTTCTATGGAAGCCTTGAGAGAGAAGAGTGGGGTTGATATGTTCACATGCCCTGTTTGTGAGGGTCCTTTAGAATTCTTAGAGCATTTATTTCTTATTTGTAGTGTAGCTGAGGAGCTATTGAGGAGGTGTGGTTTGATGGAAGAAAGCTAGGGGTTGGATGGCTTCAATATAGCTTTGGCCTTTAGGTGTATGGTAGAGAGGAATGTTGACCCCAGGAGGATTATGCATATTATTTTCTTGTTATGGAGGATCTGGAAATCTAGGAATTGGGTGGTGTCTGATCATTTTCAATATAATATCGATTCACTTGTTCATCAGTATCATAATCAGGTAAGGGAGTGGTTGGAGTTGCCTGCACAAGCCATTGGGCGGCAGGAGAATGGTGGAGGCCGATAGGTGATGGCTACGCCAGCTGCGCCATTTATTTGTTTCGTGGACAGGGCGGTCAGTTCGGGATCTCATTCCTCTGGTGGGATGGTAGTACAGGATCAAGGGGATCCTATACTTTTTGTGAAATGGTTTGTTTACGCAGGTTTGACGGATCCTTATTTGGTTAAACTACTGGCGTTCCAAGATGCGATTCGTTGGTGCTCTTTGAAGGGTCTTACGGAGGTTACTTTTCTGGGAGATGCGAAACGGTTGTCTACAAAATTAGAGGGCATAAGGTTCATGATTGACGTGGAGGGCGATTCTTGAAGAGATTTCTCAGTTGCGTCAATTGTTCGCAGAGTTATTTGACAATTTTTAGTGCAGGCAAAACAATCGAGCGGCTCATGTTGTAGCCAAAAAAGCTCTTTCTTTGTTTCCTGTTGATGTCATTTGTTTTGATTTTCGATCGTGGTTTCTGTTCGAGTTGTAAACAGTGGTATCTATATTTTTTGATGATTCAAGTTAGCTTTTGGAAAGAAAAATAATAATCAAGGCTCTTTAATTAATGAGGTGCGTTCAAAATTGTTAGTCCCATGAAGCATGTGCATATCACCCAACCTACCATTCTTCCAATCCCTTTTCTAGAAGAACAAAAACACCGATTTGATTACTCACTTATGAAGATAAAACTTCAAATTGCTCATTAGTATTAGTTAACCACAATTCATTTATTTGCCACACCATATAAGCCGGAACTGTGGTGAGAGGGAGAGGTTTGGAGCAAGGAGAGGGCCGATGCAAAAGGGGAAGAGCGGCGAGAGGGAGAGGTTTGGAGCAGGGAAGGGGAGCAATTCGTCGGTTTTATGCGGTCCACTGAGTTTATCTCGATTAGAAACCGTCGGTTGCCGGTTACCATAAATCCCAAATTCAGCAAACCGCCACCGCCACCGAAACATAATTATCGATTTTCGGTTGACCGTGTAACCGCATATTTTGGTTCGGTTTACGGTTTGAGCGAGTAACCGCCAACCGATTATCACCCCTATAATCTAACGTGCATAACCTTCATAATCCTATAATTATCATTTATGAAAAGCTATTAATTTCTCCTCCCCTCCCAATA